TATCTATATATTAATACGTGAAGCAAAAACTTTGTATCCCTTTTTACGAAAATTGCGCGGACGGAGGAGTATGAAATTTTCCACACTTATAGAGAATATAGCGAAGAAGTGCACAATGCTAATATTTTTTTTAAATAATGCATAAAAGATACATTAAATCAATAAAGAAAACATTACACACACTACATACCATGTATTTGACGCACACACGCATGCATACTATTTATTGTCAAACTTTTGTTCTTGACGTCTGTTGTCAAATTGAGATTAAATATTGTTTGTCTTTGTTAATATTTTTTATAGTGTAGTCTTGGCGAAATTTGTGATTATAGAAGTATAAAATACAATCATAATAGTGTACAAACTGACAATTCCAATTAATTATAGTCGAATTTCGACTACTGCGGGACCTCTAGTATAGTTTAAATATAAATATAGAATTGGGAAGCCCACTGAGTTTCTCGTTGTATATCCTCAGTGGGTCCCGTTTTCGATCCGGCGGTTGTATCTGCAAAGTACTGCTCTTGGTAGGGCAGGTGTTAGCAAATTTGTTTGATTAACTATGTCTAGTACTACATATAACTTATGGTTTCCTAGCTGTACTGTTCGTAAAATGGATGCGACGCCCACTAAAATATCTTTCGGTACCGTCAACCCTGACATAATTAAGCAGCGGGACCATTTATGACAATTCGCCTGACAGAATGAAAAGTCCGACCATTATCGAGTTGTGCCTCAGACAGAGCCCACCAATGTTTCTTCACCGAATCTTTTCAGTATGCCGTGTTTCCTATCCGGTGGTAGATTCTGCGAAGCATTGCTCTTAGTAGGGCTGGTGTTAGCAAATTCGTTTGGTTAGACCGCCCTTTAACTCACCTAGTCGCTCGGTGAATTTAGTATGACCCCTCGAAGTCACTAGAATAGGTAGGAAACAAAATCCCAAGTTTCCAACGTTTATTACACTGCATTTCAAGAATAAAGTGTAGTATCATTCATAACAATTCTCAGCCTGTTGACAACCCTACTACAGACAATTAAGGCCAAAGCTATGTAACCTAACATAGCCTAAAAACGTAAATTATCAAATTTAAAATTAATTCATCTTAATGCAATTAATACTGTTCTGTATGAACTCAGTTGGAAATAAAGGTTCAAGGTCGAGTCGGAGACTGTACTTACTCATTATTGACCGGCTTAGGGTTCAAGATAAGTTTGATCCTTTCTATTCGTACACTCTTCACAGAGTGGTCGTGGTCATGTATCAGTCGGATCCTGCGATACCGATGCTCTCGCGATGCAATGCCATGTGGCACGATGTTTCGCAGAGTGAGAGCAAGCATTTATGTTGGAGTGAGTCACAGATTTTATGAGGTCGGTCCATTGTGTTGGAGATCGTCCGCGAGATCTTTTGCCCTCGACTTTCCCTTGCACCACCAACCGCTCAATGGAATCCTCATTACGAGTGATGTGCCCGAAGAACTTGAGGATTCGTAATTGGACTGTTGACGATAGATAAGCTTGATATGGCTGCACAAATGTAGAATTGGGAAGCCCACTGAGTTTCTCGCCGGATATCCTCAGTGAGTCGCGTTTCCGATACGGCGGTAGATTCTCCGAAGCACTGTTACCTACTTGTTTGGTGAATCTAGCATGACCCCTCGAATTCACTAGAAAAGGAAGATAAAAAAAAATTGGCATTGTGGCGCATAAAAAAAAACTATTCCGTTGTTGCACTCCTCAAATAATCTCTATTAAAATATTTAAAAAATTATCTTACACCCTTTTTACGGCCTGCTCATTCAATCGTCTTCGCCATCTTTCTTTTCCCTGTCATTCTCTTTTCCCTTTCTTATCGTTTTCTCTCACTCACATATTAACGTTCCGTTTCACGCTCTCTTTTCATACGTTCCGTTCTTACCAATCATAAATTTATGAGAAATGGAAATTTAACAGCGGACGATGAAGGTTCTGATACATACTGGTGGTATGACCACTTGTGAATCCGCACGGGTAGCTACCACCACCCTGCCGGTTTCTGCCGTGAAGCAATAATGCGTTTCGGTTTTGAAGGATGGGGCAGCCGTTGTAACTATACTGAGACTTTAGAACTCATATCTCAAGGTGGGTGGCGGCATTTAGTGGGCTGTAAGCTCGTCCACCCATCTATGCAATAAAATAAAACCCTGAGTCGTCATCTCGATGTCTCGCATCAGAGCCATGTTGCTATATCAGTTTATTTAGGACGTATCTCTAATAATATTTACTCTTCATACAAAATGTTATTTTCTAATTCAAATTTAAATACGATGTTACATCATTATTTGAACTTTATCTTGAATAATGCAGACATATCGTTACGATAATATGATACGTAACTACATAATATATAATATATCGTGCGTATGTATCAGAGTTAGAACAAAAACAACACGGACGTTGGAAAATATTATTTTTATTTTCGGCGCTGGTAATGGACACTTTTGAGTTTAGTTTCTGCTACCAGATATAATTATAGGGTGAAAGACGGAGATGATATTGTAAAACAAATTCTTGTTGGTAAAAAGGAACGGTAGTAAGGCTGTGGAACCGCCCCCATGGGCTGACCACGTCCACGTCACGCTCAATTCCGCCATCTATAATGTTCTTCGAGTAACCGAAGATAATATTGCACAACATGACGAAAGTCACGGATGGAAGTGATCAGGTTCTTAGACTGGAGGAGGATGCAATATCTGAAGATTTCTCCCTACTGAGTTTCTCACCGAATGTTCTGAGTGGGTCACGTTTTCGATCCGGTGGTAGATTCAACGAAGCACGGCTCTTGCTAGGGCTAGTGTTAGCAATTCTCTTAGGTTGAGCCCGTGAGCTCATCTACCCGTCCGCGAGAATTTGGAATACCCCCTTAGGCTACCAACGATTAGGTAGATTTTTTTACAAACAACTATACATTCCAAACACAATGAAAGCTTGTTAACGAGAACCTTCGCGTAGATTTGTGTAAAAGTGCTGCTCTTGCTAGGGCTAGTGTTGGCCACGTCGTCAGGTTTGAGCCCCGTGAGCTCTCCTACTCGCTCGGTTACGCTGACATAACCCCCTAGCTGGTAACCTTAGGTAGGAAAAAAAAGGTTATTCAAAGATTCCGTTACATACAAACAGACAAGCCAACAAAAGCGTGTTAAAAATAGTAAAGGTAACCCCGAAAACCTTCCCATAAAACGAAGCTTCTACAACACGATAACAAGATTTTTGCTTAAAATTATTTCTATTCTATTCTATTCTATCAGCCCATGGACGTCCACTGCTGGACATAGGCCTCCCCCAAGCCTCGCCACAAAGACCGGTCCTGCGCTGCCTGCATCCAGCGGAAATAAAATTATTTAGCCGCACACAATTATTAGGTCACGACGACTTTTCGT